ATATGAGCTAAAAAAAACTAGTATGTTTGGGATGACTTTTTGGCTTTTTACGAAAAGATGTGCAAAAAGTAGAGAGAAAAGAGAATCTTTGACTTTTTGGTATGGGTTGTTGGCTTTTTGGCTAATTTAGTAACTTTTTGACTTTTTGGTTAAAATGGAGGGTTCCCAAACGAGGCTTAAAGGCCTAACACAAAGGGTAACCTTGGAGCTAGACCCTCCACGGGTTTACCCACTGGTGGTATGCCACATATCGGCTCTACACCCACACTTCAGGTACTAGATATGGTTTGTTTAGGTTTGAAAAACATATCTCATCAGCCAATTCTAGTGATGCCCGAGAAGCTAGCTCCATGGCTCAATCAATTGTACAAATGTCTGGTCTAAGAGGCTAGCCACACGACTCAATCGGGAAACCTCAGGATCAATATTAAAGTACCTATTGCCAAGCTAAACCCTAGGGTTCTTAATGCTTAATGCTTAATCAATTGTACTAGAAGCAATGTTTTAATAACCGGACCAAACCGACCAGTTCAACCAGTAGAATCGGACGTAGTTTCAGTTCAGATGATCCACAAAAATTGGACTAGGCCAAAAATAAACCTCGTTTGAAAAAATCGGAAAAATTGATGGATCAACCGGAAAAACCGGTGAACCGGCCGCGGTTTTGGACTAACCCAGTGGTTTTTTATTTTATTTTATTTTTCTTATTTTCTTTGTTTTTATATATTTATATATATTATATAGCCGACCCCATTTGATGGGACTTAAGGCTTGGTTTGGTTTGATTATATATATATATATATATTATATCAAAATTTTGACTAAAAATTCTTACTTCAAGAGTCTCCTCTCATGAGGAGGAGTCTCATTGGAAGCTTGAAGAAATAATGAAAGTCTATTCCTATTTATAGGAAAACAATTGTTCAAAGAGAACCACAAAATTCTATGTGGGATTCAATCAAATTGTTTGAATCATATTTGATTGGAGGCAGAGTTGAAAATTTTATTTCCCTCCAAAATTAAATCTAGCATTCAATCAATTTGTTTGGAGGGAATGTTAAATTTTTTTAATTTCTTTAAAACTAGTGACTTTTTTTTAACAATTATGACTTTATTAAATATTACTAGTAAATATTATGCAACACTTTTTTTTATTATTTCAGTAATTATATATATTTTCATTTATTTATAATTTATAATTATATTTTTAATTATATAATATTAATTATGACGTTACGGTTCGACCACTTTGACCCGACAGTTGAACCGGTGATCCGTCCACCCGGTCTCTTTTTCGGTTCTCTCACCGCTACGGTTTTCAAAACATTGCTTCAAATGTTGGTTTTTGTTTCCTTTTCATGTACAAAATCTGTATGCACCTTTTGCTTGAGAGCATGTGCTTGGAATTCATCGGTAGCTGTATAATGCATCTTTCTTTTGGATTATTTCTCTATGGTTGAGATTAAGGTCATATAGCCTTTCAAGGGAAGAGAGTTGTTGAATATTCATTGATTATTCTGAAATCAAAGTAATTTCAGCTTACACATGATTGTTTTTTTTTCTCCTCTCTTTGTTAGTGCCTTAAGTATAAGACAGACCAGGCACAGGATGCTAAGAAGATGGAGAAGCTAAACAACATATTCTTTACCTTGATGGCTCGTGGTCCCGAAGGTATCCCTCCATGTGACCTCAGATCATAATTGAATAATTGTTGCTTAGCTTTTGTTGTTCTTTTGGTTTTGCATCTTATGTGCTTTTGAGTTGTTTCTGTTGAGGAACATCCCTCTGTCCCGCTCTTTTTTGTGCAGCGGATGTATCAGAAGTTACTGGAAAAGAGCAAATGGAAGCACAGCCAGCCAAGAAAGGAAGAGGAAGGAAACAATAGCATTGTTCCATAGACGAAATGAGGTTTAGGTTAATTGTAATAGGTGTCATGAGATGATGCAAAAAGTTTTTTGGGGGAGGTTAAATTCAATACTTTTTGATTAATTCGTTACAACTATTTTCCATGGGGACTTAAGTTCTGTTTGGTTTCAGCAAAAAGTCATTTTTTGGCTATTTAAGTCAAAAAAAAATTTAGAGGCACTTTTTTATAGATCATTTTTCACCAACTTATGTTCCATTTAATCGATATTACTTTCTTATATTCTAATAAGTCTTATGAATGACATAGTTATCAAAATACCCTTAATAATATTTATATTTACCGTGCGAATGTTCCGTGATGTGAATATTCACACCACTAATGTGAATGTTTACATCGTTAATGTGAATATTCATATTGTTAATGTGAATGTTCACACTATTAATGTGAATATTAACATTGTAAAATATGAATGTTCACATCATTAAATTGCTAACCATTCCAAAAATATTTATAACGGTAGAAATGTTTATAAAATACTTTAAATATGAGAATTATGATTTGGTAGATCAAATATTCAAATAATAGGACTTATTAAAATATAAGAATATCTTATGGACTAATTGGGATACAAATATTTGAAAAAAGGATTCTCTAATAAATTTCTCAAAATTTTAGTTGTTTGGTTTTAGCTTATTTTGTTTTGTTTTTTTGATCTAAAAAATATTTTTTTAAAAAGAAACTTAACTAAGGACAAAAATAAAAAATAAAAAATAAAAAATCCAAACGTCACAATATTTTGAACATTTGTGAAACATGTTAATTTTTTTAGTATAATTTTATCCTAAAATTAGTATATATAAAAAAAAAATTTAAAAAAAGCAAAAAAAGACCTTCTAAAAAGAATATTTGCCGAAACCTACTGCAGAGATGCGGTTTAGTTTACTTAAAATTTAAATTTATAGATTCCTAAACAGAACTATATTTGTCTCATGGAATCTCGAAGACACCAACCATTTTGATTTTGTTTTGCTTTTTGAGCCCACACAAAAGGCAAAGATGTTTTATTTCCTTGTCCCTCAAAAGCATGTGCAAGCAAGTTCTTTCACTTTTTCCGATTTTCAATTAATAAATAAATAGATAACTATTTTATGCTATAAAAAAATTATTTACCCTTATTAAAACATAATAAATGAAAAAATAATTTAGCAAATAGTCTTCTATTGCAATGACAGATTGTTTTTGAGGGGCAACCTTTAGACAAATTATTCTTTGTCAATGATTATTGAACCCATATTGATTAAAAAGAAAGGGTTTAGTTATACTAAGATTTTTTTAGCTATTTGTGAATATTATTTTTATTTTATTTTTATAAAAAAATCCTCTCACTTTCTCCCAAGTCCAAGGCAACACCCCTCACAGAAATCATTAAGGTGTCTTATTATCTGTTTCGAACAAGAGACTATAACTTGAAAATTTGTATCAATCTCTCAAGACAAGTTTTACGTAAGTCAGGATTCGTGTAGCGAGGGAGTATCAAACCCAAACCAAATATTGTGGAAATAACAACTTGACACTTAACCTTTTAACCAACCGTGCTACGCCTTTACCAAGTGTGCTACTGCCTTGAGTTAATAACATGATTTATTTATGAACTTGTATATTTTATCACTTCAATTATAAAAATGCAACATTTTCAACCCCTCTAGATCACCTCCAAAAGAGGTGCAGTTATAAGGTTTTCATAATTGAGAGTAGAGGTGGCAAACTCAATATTGAACCTATGAACTCGTCCAATTATACTTATCTAAAATTCGTTTAAACCCATCCAAATCTATAAATGGAGGTTGGATATGGGTATTCGTTTAAATAGGCATATCATTTCTACCACCATTCCACTGCCATTGCTGGACACTCCATCACCATTATTGTCGCTGTCATCACTACTCCACCATCACTATCTCCACTACCACCGCTCCACTACCACCATCAATCGACACACCTCAAAGCCCTACTGGAGATTTATGGCATCCTAATACTCTTTCCGAAGAACCCTAGCCTTATCAAGTAGCTAGTTTATTTGAAAAGAACACTTTCATAATTATTCGCCAAGACTAAGGAACAACCTTGATGTTCGAACATTGCCATTGTGACTGGCTTGTCGAAAAACTTAAGGGAGTTATCTCATTCTTATTTTTTATTTTCAATTTTCCCTTGACTAATGGAGCAGAAATACAAAAATCGCACATCTCACATCTTGAGATGTTCAACTTTGTACTTAGTACATCCAGAGACGTTCGACATAAACAATGATTACCTATTCTTGTTGTACACATATGTTTGTAGATGCGTGAAAGACACGTTCATGCATTCGGTGGTGATGTACATTGTACACATTGGCCCATGTAGAGATGCACAACTTTCTCTAGTTTTTTACCCATACATATTGAGTCCAGATCCTCGGCCACACAATCTTGTGGCCATCCCTGCGGCACCCCCAAAACGACGTCGTTTTGAGGAAAATTTCAATTTTTAAAAAAAAAACAGAAAAGAAACCAGTGGGAAAGAAGAGAGAGAGAATGGAGGGGGGCCAAAATCAAACCCACCCTAACTCTTTACACAAACCCAAATGAAGTTTGCCTCCCTCTCAACCACACAAACAACCCCACATCTCCTTTGATTCTCTCTACAAAAGCAAGATTTTTAGGTTTTGTCCAGATTATCTCGTTGACTATAATTTTGGGTCTTTTTTGCAGAGAGAGGACGGAGGGGGGTCGGATCGAAGCTTCAATGTTGAAGGAGAAAGAGACAGAGAGGAGCAGGTAGGCGGCGATAGTGGTGGGTGAAAGCTAGCTGCCTTCCTTCTGTTTCCTTCTTCCTTCTTCCTTCCTTCTTCTGAGAAAGAGACAGAGAGAAGTAGGTGGGCGGCGATGGCGGTGGGTGAAAGCTAGCTGCCTTCCTTCTGCTCCATTCTTCCTTCCTTCTTCTCTCTCTCTGGTTTGCTCGGATATGCCTTCCTTCTTCTCCTCTGGTTTTTCCTTTGGTTTTTGTTCTATCTTTTTTTTTTTTAAACTGAAATTTCCCCCAAAACGACGTCGTTTTGGGGGTGCCGCAGGGATGGTAGCAGGATTGTGCGGCCGAAGATCCGGACTCATACATATTAGCATCCCCTTTTTCCATTTAGAGACAATTTCAAAAAGTGTCAAGCCACATTGACTGTACACTAACCTAGTGCCCAACAAATAGCCCTAATACTGATGATAAATCTGGCATTCATTCTCTTGCATTGCTAAGAACTTTATGAAACTCTATTATATGTCAATATTCTCTTTCGAACTTGAAGTTCCTTGTTCTCCTTCCTCTCCTTTTTTTTGAAGGCTTATCATGTTCACATCTTGCAACATCGGAAGTCACGTGTGGTCTTGACGGCATACCATCTCGAGTCTTAAGCATAAGGCTCTCTATCTTGGTTGTATAATTATAATAAAAAAAAAACCTTGAAAGGCAGACCGTCTCAAGCTCACTAAAACATACAACTTCTAGTAAGACTTGAAAGGCCAATTTTTCATGAACTCATTGACTTCCGTTTGGGGTTATGTGTTCAGCATGAGGGCATGCCATCCAGGGTTCATTAGGCACACATCTTCTTATGTTAGTCAATGGTATTTTCAAAAACATGTAACCCTTATTGAGTGTTTTGTGTTGTCATGAGAGAGTACTGTTTAGAGATCAATAAATACAAAATATCTAAATAACGACTAACAATCTTTTCAAAACTTGACCATTATTGAATATTATGTGTGGTCTTGAGGTGGGAGTGTACCGTCCCAAGATCATCTTACACACAATGCCTGAATAAAAGGCCAACAGACCATTCACAAACTCGACCCTTATTTTGTGTGATCTTGAGGGTGTATTGTTTCACGGTCACCTTAATGAGCATAATGTTGGAATAATGACTAGTGGACATTTTCAAAAACCATGACTTTACCAATACTAGTGTGTGATTTTGAGGGTGTACCATCTTAGGGTCTTCAACATAAATGGTCAAGAGAAATCTTCCTTGGTCCATTTGATGGCCATTGGACTGTTATGTGCGAATCCAAAGTCTACATCATACAATACATAACCCTTTAAATGACTCCCGGAAGGGTCTTGTTTTAAAATACCTTTGGACATGATTCCATCTACAGATATGTAGACTCTTTTTTTTTTTTTTTTGAGCAGATGTAGACCAACATGCTCAGTAAATACTTTTTTCAATGAATAATATTATATGTATTAATTAGTATACTAATTAATGTACTAATTGATGATGTGATATAATTTAAAAAGTTTTTGGTATTCGTAATTTACTTAATTAGTGGGGTCAATAGTAATGTCATAACTAGGGTTGTTCTATTAATTAGTATACTAAGCCTCCGTTTGGCAACTTCAACTTGGGCTAAAATAGCCACAACAGTCCAAAATAGGCTAAATTAGCCATTACACGACAAAATGAGTTCACGGGCATGACTTACCTACAAGCCGAGTTGAAAGTACGAAACTACCCTTGGCACTGTGTTGACAAATCCACAGCCTGTAACCCCTCCCCCCACACACACTTCGCAGTACAAAAAATTATATTTTTTTATTTTTTTATTTTTCGTATTTTTTATTTTTACTGATTTTTTAATATTTTAAGTAATTTTTTAATTTTTAGACACACCAAACAAAAATATGCTTGAAAGTATAATATTTGTTCAGTACATTTTTTTATATTTTTGTATATTTATTAATTTTTTAAAATATTTTTTCATAAATATTCTACTATTTAGATATATCTAAATAATGTGCATCTAACAAAGTAAAAAAATTGCTTGAAATTTTAAAAATATTCACTAAAAAAAAATACGAAAAATAAAAAATTCAATTTCCAATCAGATCTAAATCAATCTGTTTGATTTCAGTTTTTTAAATTCAATTTTAAAAAACTGAAATTAAACACACTGATTTAGACCTGATTCCTTACATGGATAGACTCAATCCAACTCTCTTTTTTTATTTTCACATCATGTTAAGAGTACTAAATCACTTTTCAATATATGTAATTTTCAAAACCATAAATTTCCCTATTTTGAGAGGTAAATTGCTATTTTATAGACTATAAGCGATCCATTTGCTAAAGGTCAATTTGAAGAGAATTAAGTACTAAAAGGATGTAAGTAGTATGCCCAACGTCTTTCTTAATTACTTGTAACAGTAGAC